TTTTTGAGGAACCAGGGATTGAACTCAGGCCCTTGTGTTTGCCAAGCAAGTGCTTATTCTATTGAGCTATCTCCCCGGCCCCCTCGTCTTATTAATTCAAGAAAAATTAACAACAATGAATTTCATCAGAGTAGCAATATGAATGAATCAACCAGAAAAGCATTTTTGCCCAAGCTTCATTTTATGGTATATAATAAAACTAAAGCTTTCTCATCAACACAAAAAAAAAAAGACAGAGGGAGAAAGCAAGTTCAGATTCTCAGCAGCAAGCCTTAAACTGTCCTATAGCCTCTTAATCCTCACAAATAACTCATTAAATCAATTTCTTCAAGTTTTACCTAATCATATTCACTCATTAGTCCCACTTGAAAACACTAAGTATATGTCATAAATTTCTAAATGCTGTCTTTAATAAAAAGAAGTATCTTTAGCATTCATATACTACTTTGCAGTAGAGAAAATATTTTACATAGATTACCTCTTGGAACCCTTACAGAAGCAATGTATAGCAGGGATTATCATTGCCCATATGCTATAAAGAACCACTAAACCCACAATCACACATTTATAAGTCATAGAGCCATGCCTGCAGTTTAAGCTTTCTAACTCCAAATTCTGTATTCTTTTCACGGAATTTCATTATGTAGAGTAGGTGTGATTTATTACTCATGTTGTTACTCTGTACTATACTAAGCAAATATAGTTTTAATATGGTGCCTTGGTAGCCAACTGCTTTTCTCAGGACCATTTACTAAGAAGGCCTAATTATTTTAAGATGTTCATAATGATAACAGTTATCAACAAAGAAAATGTGTGTGATTTGAGAATATATAAGCAATAAAGGGCACAAATAGGATATTCCTACTTTCTTTATCTTTGTTTAGATCCCAAATACTGATACAGTTTAGAGCATCTTATTAGCAGTGAATTATAAATCAAAAAGGAGTTCAACTAAGAGTAATAAAACAGATTAGTATCTGGAAGGACAACTTTAATCAAAGTTTTTAAAGAATTAAATTCAGGTAGCTTGTATTAAGGGGGGGAAACAGCTAAAAGGAAACATTTTGTGTTTAATATCTATATCAAAAACAATAATTTTATGGGTAAATGTCTAAAACTTCAAGAGGAATCTTTTTATAAAGAATTAGAGAATATTTATAAAGAGAAATGTTCAGGCAAAAATCTATGGGACAGAGAAACTCTCTTTCCCAGCAGTGGTGAAAACTGCATTCCTAGAGATATTTAATACCAGATTAGGAAAAAAAAAAAAAAAAAAGATTCCACATGGAATGATCCTGTACTGGCCCCTCAAGTGATGGGAAGACTAAAAATGGTCTCTTAGATATTTTCTATTTCCAACTTTTTCTAATTCTATGAAGTTTTATGGGACACAGTCTTCTGCCAATTTCTTTTCTCCTCATAATGCCCACTTTCTCCTTTTACAGAGGGTAATGAATTGCATATTTTATGTTAAGCAGATTTAATTGCTTTCAATGAATCAGTAAGACAACTCTACATACAAAGTTGGGAGAAAATGGCCAATTTTTAAACTTCTAAATTCTTTTTCTGATAGTGCTTCCTAGAGCTATGACGAGTTCTTCCATAAAATAAAGAAGTAGTTTAAACAGATTCAGAGAAAAACTATCTCATCAGGAAAATCATTCTTATTTCCCTTCTGTCTGATCACAGAGAAGACAAGTGACTCTGGGAGCTATAAGGACGTGATTCAATCAGAGTTGCTGTTTAGGGTTATCTTTTATCTTTCAGTATTTTATGCTGAATGACAGCAAAGTCTACTGGCACCCCACATTTTTATAGCAATGTCTTTTACCTTTGAAAAGATATAGCCTTACATACCTCCCTTCTTTGGTAAATACTATAAAAGAGTAAGTCCTAGTCGTGCTTCAAAGTCAAGGAGACAGCCTTTCCCTCTGTCTATATTCTGGTATTTTTAAGAAATAGTCCCTACCTACTCTTGAAATAAACCCAAATATTTCCCTAAAAGTTCCATTCAGTGAAATCCCAAAAAGTAAAAGAATATTTCCTTGTTTAGCTGACTTACAAAGACAATTTATAACAAAATCTATAGGTTCTGAAAACCTGTCCCTAAACTCTTTAAAAATAAAATTGCAGCTTATTTATGAGATAGAAAAGAGGTAGTCTTTCAACAATAGACATTAATGCCTCTTCTACCCAACTTTAATAGCATCAGTGGTGAAGATTCATCAATTCTCACCATACTTCTCTGAAAGAAAGAATAACCCACTAGCTACAAGCACAGTTCATAGGTATTGACAACAAAGCCAAACAAAATTTTAAATCACCATTTTCATTTTTCCCCTAGTAAGAACAAAACTTAAAGCCCTTCCAACACTTAATTCATTTGATTCTGGCAGGAATGAAGGCTGGCATTTGCAACCCCATTTCTAAACTGAGGGGGGAAATGTGATTGAATCTGACCATCTAAAGGAGAGAGACCCACTGTAAAGACTTTTCAACTCTCTCTAAACAAGGAACTAACCTAAAAGATATTATTCCAGAAAAATCTTAAGAGTGAGCTTCAAAAAAGGCTAAATATCTCGGTGTGCTCATACCAATAATGTTTTAAAAAAAAATTGCACGTGTGTCTAGAATTTTAGGAATGAAAGTATGACCTGCACCCTTTTATAATCTATAAGCCTCGGTGAATTTTTCTCAAGAAATTTATTACATTTTGTCCCTTCAAAACTAGCCTGCCAATTTTTTTTTTAATTCCCAATTTGGATACTCTGAAGCCCAGCCAAAGGAGGACAGCCAGGACAAGGTCAACCTGGTGAGTGCTTAATCATGTTAGTTTGGGATTCCCTGCATCTTTGTTTTCCATTATTTCAAAGACACTTCAAACAGCCTCTCCTCCAAATCACCACCCCCTCCTCGCCACACACACACACACACACACACACACACACACCAGCAAGCACTAGCTCAGGACCCCTTAACCTCCTCCCACCCTTCAGGAATGGAGACCAATTTTCTCACCATCCTCATAGTTTTTGAGATAGTAATCCGGGCCCGGACCCCCGCGGCTTTTCGCCGGGTTCCTCAGGTTCTGGAACTGAAGAAAGTCGGTCCTTTTGCCCCCGAAGCGAAGAAAGGCAGGCGAAAGTCCCCGGGCCAAGGTCACCAGACGCTTGGAGCTGCAGGGGTAGAGAAGGAGAGAGGAAAGGATCCCAGAAGACTAGAAAGCGCAAGGCGCGGGGCTTGGCCCTCTTCATTCTTTGCGGAAGACCTCGCCGGTGCTCAATGCTGGTCGTGCTGGCCGTGTGGGCCGTGCTGGCCGTGCGGGCCGTGCCGGTAGAGCCGGCAGTCAACATGGGACCCCTGGCAGTTCTGCAGCGTCTCCCACGCGCCCCGTGTGCTCCTGGCACCCCAGCCCGCTTTGCCTTCAACCTCTGGGTTCCTCCCCCAACCCTCAACTCCACTACACAGATGGCCCACAGAGGCCCCCCTCCCAGATACCTCGATGCCCTGGACAGTGATTTTCAAAGAGTCTGAGACTATATTTGTTCAAAGTGAGTGTATATGAGTTTGGAGAACAGTGCTGCGCCTGTAAGATCAAGGCGCAGTTGCCTGGCTTCTGCCACTCACTACAAGGAAATACTCCCCGTGGAGACACGCACCTCGCGGACTGCCGGCCTGAGGCTACTGCCAAACTCTTCCCCCGCCCCTGAAAGGGGCAACTTAACCTTTGTGGGTAAAGTAAGAATCTTGCTTTCTTGCCCTCAAATCAGTCCTGGCCACTGCGGTCAAGAAGATTCCAACTTTTTCTTTCTAATGCCAAATCGGTTTTCCATTACATTTTAACAACTGCATTATTTCTGAAATCTCAGGGCAGAGATTTGGGGGTAAATGCCTGTCTTTCCGAGGGCACTTTTCCACCATACACTCAGTAAAATCAGTGTCTCTGTGATCCCTGAAATAATTTAGCCTAATCTCAAGAAAGGCAACCTCTTTCTCCCCATCCCGAATTGAGCTCTTTTTTTTTTTTTTTTTCCTTCCTACTTGAGGCTGTGTGGAAGCTATGAGGAAAAAAGTCTGCCAAATGTAGAACCTGTGCATCCAGGGAAATTCGAGGGGCACCACAACAATACCATTCACACTTATTTCCAACAATAGGTTTTAAAAAGCCAAACAATACTGCTACTTTGAAAAGAGGCCATGGAAACACTGTTAGTGTTAAGGGGAGTCTGTAAATTATTTTCTAATGCTTTGCTTTTTGTGTTCTGAAAATTCAAATGAAAATGCAAAGTTAATGGGCATCATGAAGGAGGTGGATGCAGAAAGAAAAAAAATGCAGTCTCCCTAGTTGTTTTTAAGCCTCCTTATTTGTTTTAGAGACACAGCTACCCCGATAATTCCAGGGGCCAGAAGGTTTGGTTGAGGACCCCAGGACCACCTTCAAGGGCGCGCACAATGAGGGCATCGCTGATAGCTTTGGATAGATGTCTGTGCGAGTGGGACTCCTGGAAAACCGGGCACCTAAGCCCGCAAAGCCAATGCAGATGCACCCAACCATGGATTTGTCCCTCAAAAGGCTGCCTTCCAGAATTTTTTTGCAACACGCAAGTATTTAGCGAGAACAGTGTGGTACAGGAGGGGGGGGGCGGTGCGCGGCTTGAAGAGTCCGCAAAGCTGGAGAGTGAAAGGAAAATGAGGCTTACAAAAACTCTTGTCGTTTTCGTACCCACACTCAGAGGAGCTCAAAGACCAGCTCAGCTACAAGGAAGCTTTCTAGGAGGAAGCCAGGGGTAGGGGGAAAGCTTTTCCCACCCCTCTAGCAGTTGTACCCTATGGAAATGAACGCCCCCCCCCAGGCAGTGGCAATGACCACCCAGTCCTTCAGGGTACAGCCCCACCACGACCACGTGGAAGGAGCAAGAAGCGCTCCATGTGGCCCTCCAGCTACCTGCACGTCTGCCGACCAAGCTGAGGCCAGGAGGAGACTCGTAGAGCTGAGGGGCGGGCGCATCCAGAGAAGCAAAACTTGAATTTCCTAAAGAGTTTAAAACAGGAAAGACGCACAGAGGAAACGGCCTCAAAGCAAAGGAGTGGGATGGAGAGCACTCAGGGCTTTTGGGGGAAGCCCACTGCTGAGGCTCCAAGTTGGAAGGAACTTTTAAAGACTCAACACTTAAGACTGGATATTGCAGACGATTTATTTATTTCTTTTTTTACACTGCAACTCTGTCCCAGATGAGAAGCGAGCACGGTCGACTAAGTGCAGAACAACCAGGGCGAGGGTGAGCTCAATTTGATTCCAAGGGGATCACAACCTCTGGGTTTACTAATCCACTGGTGCTATGTTCAAACCACAGAAACCTAACCCCCCAAACACACACACACACACACACACACACACACATACACACACACATATTTTAGGGCTACAATGCTCCCCTTTTGTACATTCTGACCCCAGACAGGATTTTTCTTTTTTCTTTAAAGAACAACTAAACGATGCAGTTACTGCAGGAGATTTAAACTGGAAGAACTGGAGGAAGGAGGTTATTCTGCCTATACAAAGTGCCAAATAACATCCTGAAGTCTGTAGATAAAAGTAGAGGACACAAAATAAAACTTTAAAACTCCAACCCGACTTGCTTACTGCTCAAGCTTCTCCATAAATTCATTTTCTGTAAGGAAATGGGAGATAACTGACAAAACCATCTCTCCATGAAAAATTTCAATTTGTGCAATCCCCATTTGTTGTCTCCATTCTATCTCTCTCTCTCTCTCTGTCTCTCTCTCTCTCTCTCTCTCTCTCACACACACACACACACACACACACACACACACACACACATTCCTCTTGGGTCTTTGTTGCTCCAGACCTTTTCTTCACTTTTGTAACTGCACTGAACTTCTTGTTTCTTTTTCAGAAAAAGGGGAGGCTAATTATGAATATATGTAAGCACAACATTTTTTCAGTCATAACTGATAAGTTTCTGAAATGCCTTCTGCATTGCAAACATGTGCATCTTAATAGAAAACATTGCTTTTCTCAATCACTAGTTACAGCCTCACAGCAAATACTCCAGGAGAAGGAAAACCTTTTTTTTTTCTCATTGAGAGCGATTTGCTTGACTTATTTTCTTCTTTTTCTTCTTTCTCCTTCAGAATAGGGATAGGAAGAGAATGGGAGTGGAGATTACTTTAAAAATTAAAAATGATCCATTGAAGCCCCTGCCTTACCTTAAGAAATCGAGCCAGCCATCATGAATGATGGAGGGATCCAGCTGCAGAGAGAGGAAGTTCTCACTGACTGTCCTGACTGGGTTCTTGGTGCTCACATCAAGTAGAATCAGGGTCTTTTCCTTCAAACCTGCAGTTCTGTCTACAGGCAAAGGTCTCCTGTCTCCAGCTTGGGAGGAAAGGGAGAGTTGGAGCAACAGAGCCAAGAAGAGAGCCACCCGGGCTAGGCACGGTGAGGGGCGGGAGTTGCTGGAGAACATGGCTTCAGGGAAGGCACAGAGCACCCTCATTAAATCCTTCTGATTTAAACCTCTCTCCCTACTGGGTCTCACTGTTGACTAATTGCCCTTATCTAAAGTGTGTGTCTGTCTGCCTCCCCCTCCCTTTCTTCCCTCCCTCCTCCCCCCCATTCTCTTGCGCTCTCTTGCTCTCGCGCTCGCTCGCGCGCTCTCTCTCTCTCTCTCTCTCTCTCTCTCTCTCTCTCTCTCTCTTTCTCTCTCTTGCTCTCTTTTTTTCAGTGTTTTGGTGCTGGTGGAGCGAACTCACGCCCCTAGCCAGCCTTCTCAGCAACTCGTGCCAAGAGTACTCGTTCACCAGCACCGCCCCTTTAAGAGATTTCAACTGCAGACATTTTTTAACTTTTTAAAGGTAAGGGGTGGGGGGAAGCGGGAAGGAGGCAGGGGTGGTGTTGTACCCTCCTGATTTAACCCTCTAGGGTCAGGAAACAGTCTGTGTGATCACTATAGTGCTGTGGTAACATCTTGGGTAGGGCAGCATGTATCTCCTTGGCAGGCTCTAAGAGAGGTTGTTTAAACTGCTCTGACACGGTGTTAAACTTCACAGGAAACCTGGGTCTGTTTGTCTGGGTAGCTCAAGTGTATCATACACTCTGTCCTACTCCAGGTCCTTCTTTTAGGTATAAAGTAACAAAATGAAGAGTTATTAAATTGCAAAGGGTCTTGTGGCCAGCGGCAACTGTGATTCTTGTCAAAGCAGAGGGAGACTCTGTGACCAAAAGCTAGGACTTCTGTGCTAAGGTGCTAAGGAGCCACACAGAAGCATCCTCTGATTTCAACAAGGTAAATGTGGCCAGAAATAAAATAGAATGACCAAGTGAAAGGACTTCACTTCTCCAACCCAAACAAGAAGAACCAGTCTGCCCAATGGCTCTTCCTGAAGCAAAAGAGTTGGAGTCTTAGGATCTTCTGTGTACGCTGGCTTTGGCTGTCAATGCAACATGGACTGCCTTAATCAAGGCAGCTTTTCAACCCTTTGAGCCACTCCTGGTCCACTCTATACCAGTGCACAAGCTGAGCTGCCCCTCCTAAAGATCAGCATTTGGGTTTAACCCTTCTATAAGGAAGTATATCTTTATGGTTTCAGAAAACAAAATACCATATAGAGGCTTGAAATTTGGCCTCTAGTCAAAGCCAGTCTGCCTGGACATAGCAAAAGATGTCCAGGATGCAAGAGATCAAGATGTACCACTCATGCAGCTCACAGAAATCCCAACCACAACTGGAAGATTGTGCTCTGGGTAACCTTCCTATAGTGTAGAAGAGACCAGGCAGAGTTTGCTTCAGTTTGTGGGACCCCACTTTTAACTTCTTTCTGAAACAAAATGGGCCTCCTACTTGACAAATGAAGGGAACTACTTTATGCAGTGTAGGTAAACAGAAGCATTCTAGGGTCTCCTTGGCATCAAATAGAACTTCAATGCAGAGGATAGGTTCTCCCCAAGGATGAATGTACAAGGGGCAATCTCAGAACTCAGCAAATCCTAATGGCACATCCTTCCCATTTCCTCAGATAGATAGCATTAACAAATCGGAAAAGATAACTTTAAACTGATGTTCTGTGAAAAACTGACATTCCCAGAGGAGCCTCTACTAACCTAACCCACCAAGAAATCCAGAAGTAGTGCTTGAATGAACTGAAAAATGCTAGAAGGATCTACTAGAATATGACTACATAAAATGAGAATAAAGGAAAAAGAAACCCCAAGTTTTATCCCTCAGAGATGATTTTAAAAATCAAGCTATAACATGTTCTAAATATTGGCCTATTGGCCCTAACACCTGCTTCCCTTGGTTCCTGAAACTCTCCAACATACCTAGATCCTTTAAAAGATGTATATGTGGCCAGGCATAGTGGCACATACCTGCAATCCCAGCACTCAGACTAAAGCAGGAGGGCTGAGTTTGAGGCCAACATGGGCTACAATGTGAATTCAAGGCCAGCCTGTACTGCATGGTGAAACTGTGTCTCAAAAAAGAAGGGGAAAAAAAAAGATGTATATGTATCCTGCTAGATATGGTGAAAGCCTGTTAAACAAAGACTGCTATCTTTTTATCTCCAGATTTTTACTAGGTACCTGATAAACACCTGTGAAATACATTAATATATCAAACTCACCTCATTGAAACTATACACTTCTCTCAAGACAAACATGAAAACTTAAACTCTTCTGTGTGTCAAAATAAATTGTGTTTTGGATCTCTATTCAGTAAATTCTTTTCCAGGTATTAACATTTTCCTGTCCATGTCCTTTAGGAAATATTTATTTTGCAAAGCTATTAGTTTATTTGCTATATTCAAAATTACATATTTTAAATAAGCCAGATTTTTCAAAGGCTAACGTATTTCCTGGCTTATAATTGAATGTACTCTTAGAAGCCACATTAAATGGGATTATGTGAATGAAATTATTCACTTACACTAGACATCTATAGTAAATGTACCTTTCAAAAACACTACTTCTCTGAGTAAGAGTTACCTTAAGTATAATGGGAATCTACTTATGAATTTTCAAAATTTTACTGACTTGTCTACTCTGTAATAGTTTGGTGTCCTACTTAAATTAATATTTAATATTTATTTCAAAAATTTTATATGGTAGTGTAAGCAGCTTTCCATTGCTGTGACAAAATACATGAGAATACCAACTTAGAAGAGGACAAATTTACTTAGACCTGTGATTTAAAAGACTGGTCCATGGTTGACTGACTCTATTGCTTCTGTACCACAGATGAGGCACAACTTGTGACCTAATTCATCCAACCATGCCCAATTTCTTATATTCCCATTCAGCAATGAACTCATTAACTGATTAATCCACTGATGGGAGTAGACCTCATTACCCCCACCTCTGAACATCACTGTTTTGGAGATCAAAATCTCAACACATGAGTCTTTGGAAGTTACTTCATATTAGAATCAAAACCTACAAAAACACACTTACTTCTTTAATTGATGAAAAAAAACTAACTTTGGCCACCAAAATTCTATACTCATAGGGGAAACAGTTCAGTAGCATAAGCACCTACCTGGCAAGAACAAAGCCCCAAGTTCAATCCCTGGTAACACACACACACACACACACACACACACACACACACACACACAAAGAAGAAAACAAAATTCTATAGTCATAGCCAGTCTCAGGAAAACAGGAGTAAGAAATCAGCTCAATAATGTGAAGAGAGTTCCAGATATTTCTGATTCACTCTAAGATGCACCTCTGGTCTACTTAGAGTATGAGATAGCTCACTATTAATCTATGTATTAGACTGATATCTCTAGCCATCTTCTGTGTACTAGATGACAATAATCTGTACCTCTGTCTTGTCCTAGATTATAATTGCCTAAGGGACAAGAATTGGGATTCTGTATAAAATACAAATTAAGAATTAGATGAATTGATATCTCTATACAAATGCTGTGCTTGGGATCTATCGAATCATCTGTGTAGATTGCTTTGACATCTAGGGGACTGGATTCCAAGGAAGTAAAAGAAAACTTAAAGTTTAATTCATTCAATGACTTCTAGGTTTTGAGATTTCAACATAAATATTAGCTAACAAGAAGAGCAGACATGCGTATGCCAACTTTTTGTTTTGTCTAGTAAGGACCTTAAAGAATCTATCAACTACTTAAAACTATTACTTTCCAAAAGAAAAAAATTAACATCCAAAAATAGCTAAAGTAGTATATCAAAATAAAGAACAGGTGTTTAAACTGAATATATTCAGTTTCATGAAAAAAATCATTATATCCTAATTATATCTTAGACAAGAGAGAATATATGAGTGAGCAACACAGGTACTAAGACTTTTAACAGGGATTCCCTTTGTTACATACAGTGGTGCTGCAAGTTGTTCAGACATTTTGAAGGTGGTCACTTTGATACAATGAATTCTTCTGACTTTTTCTATCCCTTTCCTAAATTTTAGCCTATCACAAACTCATGAACTCTATATACCACCTTCTCTCCTTCTATTAAATATTGAAAGCCTAATTTTATCTATGCATATTTCTCCTTCTCAAAGAATTACACCCTACTGTCTGATAGCAACAAAAAATGCCACCATATCTTAAAGAAGAAAGCATGAAAATATAGCCAGTCCAGTTCCCATCATAGCCTGTGTACTTTTCCATGATGACTATTTATTGAAATCACAGGATTTAGGCATGGTGCTCAGAGATATATATATGTCATTTCATTAACTTTCTTGCCTGGCTCTGAGGAATAGATACAATTCTTTATCATACTTAGTATACAAATGAGAAAATGAAGACTCAAATGGTAAGCAACTTTTTCACGCTATCATATATAATAAATAGCAGCATTGGCCCAGGGATACCTCCAAAGCCTATGTTTGTTTTCTTATCTCACTCTACCTCTCAATGTAGTATAAAAAAAAACCCTTGAACTCAGAATTGGAAGACCTAGGTTTAAGTCTTGACATTATCAGCTCTAGTCCTATGACGTTGGGTAGATCTTTTTAACTGTTCTATATCCCTGCTCTCTATTCTATAAAATTAATACAAAATCCAAGAATAAGGTAATAACTGAGTAGATTGTATATTAAAATGCTTTATAAATTCTAATATAAAATTACGCTACTTGTGTGTTTGTTCTTATTCCATGTCTCCCATACTTCTCACAAATATACCACCTTAACTGATGACTAGGTAAGGATAAAGTTATACATAAATGTCTTAGTAATGCCACTAAATGCAGTCATGAAACAAGGTCATACAGCAGGCTATTCTGCTAAGTTTCATCTATTTTTTTTCCTACGTTGCATCTAAAAAAAGAAAAGAATTATGAGTGTTCCATATGCCTTCTTCAATTTTCCATAAGGAAATTAAGGGAAAAAAGTATGTAAAGAACAGTACTTGTTACTTTCAAAGTATGTTATTTTACTTTCAAAGACTATCTCCATCTGTATAAAATAACAAGGAATGGTAACACTTTCTCCATGCAGAAAGTTACAAGAGAAAGAAA